ACCGCGCCAGCGAGTTCCTGAGGTCACGGCTGGGAGGTCTTGGTGGAGACCTCGGAGATGTCTTGCCGTGAGCGTGCCCGTACCTGTTTTCTGCTACTCGAAGAGCACTTCTCACGCGGATGTTGGTTCCTCGCCTCGCTGCCGCGCACGGGCACAAGCTTCACGCCTGCTGACACCGGATCCCTGGGGAATTAAACCTCTCGGAGATGATGAGGGCAGTCCAGCCACGCATGGCATCACTCTCCACTAGCTAAACCCCACGTTTTCCAAGTTCAGCGTTGGCTTCGCGGGTCAGCTCTTCTCCGGGGGAAGCTCCGCTCCTGCTCCCACCTGCTTTTGGGGTGTAGGAGGGGAGAAAGGAAGGACCCGCGGTTCGGTGCGTGGCAGGGACCACAGCCATTAACTCTCCTTCTTCTTTTCTTCCAGATGAGCTCACAGTGCCTGCACTTTACCCCAGTAGCCCTGAAGTGTGGGGGCCGTACCCTCTGTACCCAGCGGAGTTAGCACCTGCTCTACCTCCTCCTGCTTTCACCTATCCCGCTTCGCTGCACGCCCAGGTAATTCAGACCCACCACCGCTCTCACCCACACACCCACCCGCCTCGGATCCCCCTCTTTTTCCCCTGGGTGCTCGCCGCACCGCTAACCTCTGCCTGGCTAACACGCACGCACTCCCTCCCACTCTTTTCCCCTCCCTGAGATTTAGGGCACCCAAACGGAGCTGAGCGCTGGCAGCGCCCAAACACCTCTCTGCCTTCCTTTTTGCTCTTGCCAGGGAGGGAGGGAGGAACTGGGGGATGCTCAGGGGGCTGGACTGTCCCCATCGCTACCGAGCCCCCCCGACCTTGAGCATCGTTGGGATGCAGCTTGCCGGACGCGGTGGGGATGAAGCAAAGCGACTCTGACGGGGAGGAAGAGGGCAAGCGAAGCGCAAACGGAGGCTCCATCTTTTATTGACGAGGCCGCTCCCGTGTCGCAAGCGCTTTTCTGCTGGCTGCCAACCGTGGCACGCGGACGTTAAAAATTAACCACCCGCCCCAGGGAAAAGAGCGGGGAAAAGAAGAAGTGGAAACGGAGGCGGCCGCGGAGGATTTCTTGGCAGTGCCAGCCTTCGGGATGTTTTCCTGGAGCAGCATTGCAAGGATGCCACAAAGAGACTCCCGCCTTGGGGAGGGGGAAAGGGCAGCTGCCTCCCTGGTGCTGGACATCATCCCGGCTTTCGCTCCTCGCTGCCGGCTCCGGCTTGGCGGTGAACAGGAGGAAACGAGCGCACGGAAACAGATTTGCTGGATAAGCCGCATCCGAAAGGCTTTTTGGCCCCAGCTCTGTTGGGATTGAGCTGGGTTATCTGGAGCCGGAGACAGCCGGGGGCTGGTTTTGAGAAAAAAGGCCCCGGGTAACACCCCAGCCGCAGCCTTTGGATGAAACTCCGTCTTTTTTAGGCCTTGCTGTTTATAGGAAGAGTGGCGGTAAATATTATTGCAGCTACGTCCTCGCCTTGTCAAATAACCACTAACAGGCAGCACCTGCGCTGCTTAGGAGGAGGCTGGGGAATCGGCCGGCGAAGGAAATGGAGGGGGAAGGAAGCTCCAAGGGCTCTCGGGAAAACCCAGGCTGAGACTCACTGTTAGATGCTGCTACAAGAAATATTACCTGGTTATAGAGACAGCATGGTGGGGAGGGGGGTGGTGGCATTTTCCCCG